CTAATGGTATAACTTAAAATCTCTGCCCTTATTTTTTTTCAATAATGAAAAGAGATCGGATTGCCTGGAAGGAGAAGCATAAATAGAACTACATCGTCAGATTTTGATTCGGATACTGATAAATACAATCTTAGTGATAATGAATGTTATGAAGATACTATTGACGAGATTTTACGAGAATTGGTCATGGAAGAAGAAAGAAATGTTGATGATACCGAGAAAGCTACAGTTCAAATAAAAGATACGAAATGGACCGATCAGAGGCACGAGCAAATCTGAAAAAACCAACAACTTTTTGTCCAAGCTGTCCTGTTCAACCTCAACTTTGCAGAGAATGTTTTAATGTTATACACTGCGAATAATCTTTTTAATAAACCATTTTTATAAGAATCCAATAGTTTCATTACCTCCTGTAGAATATTTGTCGAAATATTTTCGGAAATCCTTTGTAAGTAGTCAAATCAGCGTCACCCGAATTACGGGTGACGTGGCCTGATGAGAACTTTTGCTGTCACCCGAATACGGGTGACGCGGCAGTCAACGTGTTAAAAAGTATTCGATTGCTCACTGGTTAATAGAATATCCAAATACGTGTATGCGAAGAATTGCAATAGACCCTCACTACGCAGTTAATACGCATAGACGCGAAACGCGCAGTGTTTACGTTCGACACCTTCCAAGACCGCGTATACCGAAAGACTGAGGACGAGTCCGGAGCTTTGACGGACCGCTGGAAACATAATTTATGACAGCCCCTGTTCGCCTACGTCATCCCCCAAATACTAATTACGCGCTACGAGGAGAAAGGACCGCTATTTTTATTTTCTTTCGCATTCCAGCGAGCCGTCCGTGTGTCAGTACGATACGCGCGTCGCATGCACACAGTCGGCAGAAATTGCGCGCAATTTGCATCGGGATACGCACGAAGGGAACGCGGCGGTTTCCGTTGTGGGGTAACCGTAAAGAAAAATGCGTAAGCAGATCGACGAAGAAGCGACGCGATGTAACGCGAGGCGACGCCGACGTTCGGAACGAGGAACGGAGATCGATGGTAGCCGAAGGCCTCGATTCATCGTAAGCTGTAAATCCGGCGAGGGTCGAGCGAATTGATCGGCGCCGTGCCGCGCCGGGTTCGATAGTTCCCGTGGGCTATCGCGGACCGGACCGGACCTGCCTGGCCCGAACCAGAACCGTTCTTCGTCGACGCCTGCCGCGCGCACCGTTTATTATTTCAAGCGGGAACGAGGAATGGCTGTCGGTTTCGCGTACCGCGTTAAATTAATATCGAGTGTTAAACGCGTCGTGGGAATCGGTCAGGTGGTCGAAAAGCATATCGGGCCGCGCCGAGCCGCGCCGCGCCGCGTTCACGGGCCGACGGTCGCCTTTCGAGAAGCCTTAATGAATTTCGTGATTAGGCGGTTTCGCCGGCAAACCTTCGCCCCAAAAGTGTCTAAAGTCGATTAGTCTCGCGATTCGTTTGGACGCTCGTAAACCTTCGAAAAAGAAACTGTTACTTTAGTTTTGCTGTCCCAGTAATTCCTTCGAGAACAAAGGTAAAACTGCGACGTAGTTTACAACAACGAAACAGCTGTATTTATTTAGACTCCTCGCCGTATTTATTACGATCTACGATTAAAGAATTTGCTCGATAATTTTTTATAATAGAGTCCGTATAATTTTACTAGTTCGGTAAATGCGCAAAAGTCCGTGGACTTCTTATCGCAGCATTGTTGTGTTCCGAGAAATCGGCCGCGTCGATAAAATTCCTAAAAGCTGCGCATAAACCGATAACATTCTACGTCCCGAAATTGAATGACAGTGGGGGTAGTAGTGGGGGTTGGAAAATTGACAATTGCCGGGGAAAGACGGTTCCCGAGGAACGAGCCGAGCAGAAGTCGGATAGCGCGCGGTGCGGTGCGGTGTACATTATTAATCGCTGTTACGAAGCTGTTCGGCGCATCGAGCACCGTTGATTAATCGGCGGCACGCTCGAGATTTTAATTAATCCTCCCGGGGAGGGAAAGAGAGAAAGGTCGGGAGGAGGGAGGAACCGATCGACGGTGAAGAGAGAGAGAGAGAGAGAGAGGGGGGGAGAGGGAGAGAGACGGCTCGGTGCTCTCGTGCTCGTGCAGCGATCCAGACTTTCTCGGCGAAGAAATTACTTTAACCTCGATAGAGCCGCGAGACGCTGCGTCGAGGCAATCGGCGAACGAATCTGGAATCGGGAACCCCTGGATTCCCGAAGGAACTCGAGACATCCACGCTCTGACGGCTGATCGACATTAGGTAAGGAACCTAACAAAACAAGGTGTTACGTAGATTAGAATTACATTTTAGAGACTGCGTCATTTGTATATTCTATCCGAAGCGACGTTTACTACTTCGCTGATACATTCTATTCCGAAGGGCTGTTTGCGAATTGCAAGAAAAATCCCGATTATCGAAGTAAAAAATCGCGATCGAACCTGTAACACGGGGGGTGGGGGAGGCGTTCGATGATAGATAGCAGGAATACGAATCGGTAAAAAGTCGGAGATCGTTTACGAGGTAAAAAGACGAGAAACCTTAGCACGTCAACCGGCGACGGAAAAAAAAACCCGAGACGGCACGCGACACGTGTCGGTGATGTTACTGATTTCGCAACGGTGGCGACGAGGGTGCGCGTCGGAAGACGGTACCGTGTAGCTCGCGGAAGCGGTCGCCGAGATTGCCGGCAATAATTATCGATTTCCAAAGTAATTCCTCGGAAGCGGCGCAGAGCCCGAGGGCACGCGGCCGCGGCGCGGCGCGGGTGGCAAACGGTGGAAAACGGTGGGAAACGGTGGGCGTATCGGGTCGGGGGTGGAAAAGTATTCCCGGCAAATATTTCCGTTTTTTCTCCGGACCGGTGGTAGGTACTACCGGGAGCACGCCGGCCGACGAGAGGGCGAAAATGGACTCGGAGACGGAGGTGGGAGTTCTGATTTCATTAGGCCCGGTGTTATGCGATTAATTAAGTCGCGAGCTCCGGCAAAAATAAGAGTAAAAACCGGATCGATCTCCACCCCTCGGCGTTCTCTCCCTTCCTTATCCCCCGGCCACCTCCGCGACCCCTCCTCCTCCTCCTCCTCCTCCTCCTCCTCCTCCTCCTCCTCGCGGCCGTTA